CCGGCATTCAACAATTCTTGAACCCTATATTTTAAGTTGATGCAATCTTCCACAGAATGCCCGGGAGCGCCTGAGTGGTAATCACATTTTTCGTTGAGTTTGTACCAACCGGGGTAAGGTGGATCTTTCTTCTTTGGAGGGATACGTGTTAGGAGCTTGGCCTCTAACAGCTTTGGCAACAGACTTCCATAAGAGGTTGGAATGGGGGTGAATTTCTTCTCTTGTCTGCGTGACTGCCCAGATGGTGGCGAAGAGGGAGAAGGAGTAGTAAGGTTGATGGCATTTACGCTTCCTTCCTTCTTCTCGCCAAAGGACTTTTTAACATTTGGAGTAGAGGAATTGGAGGAAGTATGCTGTGCAATTCTTCCGTTTTTCAGAACTTGCTCTACTCTTTCTCCTATAATTACCACATCCGCAAAGAGTGTTGATGTGTTCCCTATCATTTTGTCATAATAGGGACCAGTTAGAGAATTGATAAACATGGATGTGGTTTCTTTGTCGAACAGAGGAGGTTCTACTTGTGCTGCCAATTCCCTCCATCTTTGGGCGTATGCCTTAAAGGATTCGTCGTCTTTTTTGCTTAGTAATTGTAGATCTGCTCTTTCAGGTGTCAGATCAATATTGTAGTTATAGCGACAAAGAAAAGCATCTGCCAGATGTCTCCATGTTTGGACTTGCCCTCCTTCCAGTTGCATATACCAGTTTAGGGCTGATTCAGCTAAGCTCTCCTGAAAGCAATGGATCAGGAGTTTCTCATTATCAGCATATGCAGCCATCTTACGGCAGTACATCGTAAGATGGCTTTTGGGGCATGTTGTTCCCACGTACTTTGGGAAGTCCGGAGTTTTGAATTTATTGGGGAATTGGATGTTTTTAACGAGGCACATATCAGCCGCCTCTTTAACATCAAAGTTATGACCCTCCATAGCTCTCAGCCTCTCTTCAAGAGCAGTAAGCTGTTGTTTTGATACTTCCGGAGCATGAATATGTACTGCCCTTGTACCAGATTGGTCATGCTCATCATTGGGTTCCTCCTCTTCTTCTTGGTGGGAGGCTTGTCCACTTTGAGGACCTTCCTTATGGAGATTTTGCTGGCGCATCATTTCCAGCATTTGAGCCATTTGCTCTTTCAGCATGTTGAGCTCAGTGGTGAGCTTTCGGTTTTGCTCCTCTAGTTGCTCCACCTTCTTGGCTTTTTGAGCGCGAGTGAGAACAGGTAGAAGACCAGCCACTTTCTAAATGATTTAAAGATTTTTATTATAGCTTTTTATTTTAAATGATTAGTGTGAGATAGATATGTCTTAGACAATAGCTTTAGTATCTTCTCAAAAGCCTATGTTTTAAGGGTACCATACCCACCTTAGTGTGTTAACTTCCTTTTTTTTTAAAAGGTTGCCAACATACCTTAGCGCACTTATCTCTTCTAGGAAGGTGATAAATGCACTTGGGTCTCTTTCACTATTGTCTAAGGATATCTAATGCATCCTAGAATGAGTGTGTTTATGCATGCACTACAAAAATATTTTTTTATGACAGTATATATTGAAAGTGGAATAAGTTTTGACTGGGTTGTCCGATTTGGACGCACAACATGTCAAAACGAAGAGAAAAGGGTGAAGAACAAGGTTGAAAATGCCCGAAGGGGATTTGGCCCAGTAATTTTCCCAAAAAACGCTCCTAAGACCCATTTTTTGGAGGTTTATTAAAATGATGTGCATGCTACAATTATTTTCTCTTAGTTTTACCACTTATTGGATGATGTGGTATGAATGATATGACTTTGCCAAGAATCTTTTTATTATAAAAAGGAGTTTTTATGGCTTTCATTCGTTTTTACATTTTTTATGACCTTTTATCTCTTCTGTCGGTCAACGTGACTACTTAGCTTACAAAGAACCTGAAACCAGGCTAGCTTAACTGAAGACTGTCTGAGATAAAGGTGGTTATCTTATCACCTTTTGATTTTTAGGGTTTTTCATTTTTTGTTTGTTATATGATTGCCCTATGCTAATGCATCAATACAAATGCAGCAAACGAATGCACACACAATTCATTCACCCACGAGCAGAGCCACGCTTATTTAATCACGAGGTAGGGTTTTCCTGCAGAAACGTGCTTGGTTTAGGTGGTTCTAAACTGTTCTCACCAAGGCCAAAGGTCCCCAAGGTGCCCCCACTATAGGGACCTCTCAATCTCTCAGTCCTCGGGTCATGCACGGAACTCCGTGGCGACATCCTTAGACCAAAAGAAGAGAGTTATCACCTTGAGTTGGTGGTTTCCGACAACGGTTGTAGCCCCGTGTGCCAACAAGCCGGTCGTATCTGCCACCCACTCCCTATAGGTATTCACTCTTGCCCCCCGGGTATAGAGGGACTGTTGTGTGCAAGGGTTTTTGTGTGCAATTTATATTTCAGACAATTTGCAGAAATAATCATACAGCAGTTATTAAAGCCATACAATAAAAATACAGAAAAGGGTAAAGGCGTAATTTCAAATCTTTACTTAGTTTGAATTTATCCATCACTAAATGGGATCAACTCTCTAGCTTCCCCAGTGCAGTCGCCATCTGTCGCCGCCGTTTGTTCCGACGTCCTAGGACATCTCGAACGTTAATGCGAGCGGTCGCGAAAAGATGGTTTAGACTCGCGTTTTTTGTTAAAAATATGTTCATTGCTTCCGAGGCGCTCAACGCTGAACTATCCTCTAATAGAAGCAAGGTTTTCGAAAAGGGTTCTTTTGGAGTCGCCACCAATGTTTTGACCATAAACATTGGAAAAGGAGAAAAAGGCATTGATTTTAATAAAAACCAAACTTGGCCATTATAACCAGAGTCGGGTAAGGGAGTTAGTTACGTGTGGGGAAGGTATTAGCACCCCACAATGCCCCTTTCGGGTTCCCTATGACGGATTAATTCATTCAAGTAAAGATTACAAGAAATTACGCTATTACCCTATTTTATTCGTACAGTATTTAAATATAATTATCTACATGGTTTATCTACATTGCATACAGAAAGCAGTAAATAAAGCAATAAAAGGGAAGAGGATTGAGAAGAACCTCCGAAGCAAGCTTTATATTATAAGTCTTTTATACAGAGGATGCTTTGCGGCAATCCTTCACTCTACAACGACTCTTCTCTCGAATAAACTCGACTCGACTAAAATTTTCTAGAAGAATCGAATGCCGGAATACCAATTCCTTAACTGATTGTTACCTATTAAAGGCAATCAGAGAGATCATTTGAAGGAGGGAGAGAAGAAGACAAGTCTTGGAGTTGTCTGGGGGTGTGGAAAATGAGCAAATGAGCCTCCTATTTATAGTTTTCGCTGCCTGGCACCTTTGGGACGCGCGTCTGGGTTGGGACGGCCGTCCCAACTGCATGTTTTACAAAGGCTGGGACGCCCTGGGACTTGGGACGGCCGTCCCACATGTGGGACGCGCGTCTCACTTGTCCCAGGATAGTTGGGACGGCCGTCCCAACTTTGGGACGGTGGTCTCGACCTGTTTTGTCCAGTTTTTACGTTCTGGGACCCCGGGAAGCTTTCCTTGCTATTTTTGGACATTGGTTGATGCCGATAGACGTCCATTGAAGCTTTATCTTTATATGGGAAGTCTTCTTGACCCTTATTGAGATGCTGGACGAACTTTTATCTTCGTTTATAGGAGGTCTCTTTGGCCTTTGGATGAACTCCGTGTGATTGTAGGAGGTCTTCTTGGTGTTTATTGATAAGCTGGGCGATCTTTATCTTCGTGTGTAGTTTCCCTAGCTTTGATTGAGAGGCCGGGCAAAATTAGGGGTCTACACCATTTAGTGATGGGCCAGTTTAATAAATAAACTTAGAAATTTTTCTTTTACCCTACCTTGTTTTATAACATGTTTATTTGCTTGGCTTTAATAACTTTTGTTTGTTTATTTTATGCACTTGTTTGAAATACAAACTGTACACAAACCCTTGCACACAACAGTTCCCTATATACCCGGGGGCAAGTGAGAAATCCATAGGGAGTGGGTGGCAGGTATGGTTTGCCGTAGTGAGGGCCATGAGCCCACCGTTATGATCGGAAACCACCACTCAAGGTGATAACCTTCCTCTTTTGGCACAAAGACTGACTATGGCCTTAGTGCTAAGCATGGTCGAAAGGCTGGAGAGTGGGGACCCTATAATGGGGGCACCTTGGGGACCTGACCTTGGTGAGAACAGTTAGAACCTACCTTTGCCAATGCACTTTTCTGCAGGAAATCCCTACCTCGTAATCAAAACGTCATCCTACCTATTCGCGGATGAGTGAATTGTGTGTGGATTTGTTTGTTGCATTTGATTGCATAGCATAACCAAACAACAGATAAAAAAATATAAAAAACTACAAAAAAATACTTTCGCAATAAACACCCTTATCTCGGACATTCTTCCTTTTAGGTAGCCTGGTTTCAGGTTCTTTGTAAGCTAAGTAGCAACGCAGTCCGACAGAAGAGATAAGGGATGCTAAGACCATTCTTTCGCAATAACCATTTTTATATCGGACAGTCTACCTTTTTGCTAGTTTAGTTTCAGGTTCTTTGTAAGCTAAGTAGCTACGTATTCCAAGAGAAGAGATAAAAGGGTAAATAATAATAATAATAATAATAATAATAACAAAATCAAAACATTTATAAAAATAATTTTGACAAAGTCGTATCATTTATATCGCATCATGTCATAAGTGGAAAAACCAAGATAGAAAAGATATGCATATGGAAAGTATGCATACGCATCATCTTAATAAATCTCTCAAAAAAAGGGTCTTAGGAGCGTTTTTTGGGAAAATTGCTGGGGAAAATCCCCTACGGGTTTAGGGTTTAGGCCCCATATTAGAGTAGGAAGACTTTTTGTACGAAAAAAAATAAGGATTTCCACCTGAAGGGTCGAGACTGCCGTCTCGCTTATCGAGACCGCCGTCTCACCATTAGCAAGGGCGAGACGACTGTCTCGTTTAGCGAGATGGTCGTCTCGCCACTTGCCATGGCGAGATCGCCTTCCCGTTTGGCGAGACGACCTTCTTGTCATTTGTCAAATCGATACCACCATCCCGATTGGCGAGACAATTGTCTCGCCATTTGCCAAAGGCGAGACCGTCGTCTCGATTGGCGAGACGACGGTCTCGACCTTTCCAGGCGAGACGGTGGTCTCAACCTTTCTAGGCGAGACAGCAGCCTGGACCTGACAGGCGCGAATCCCTATAAAAGGAGGACAGTATCCCCTTCTTTTCACACAGTTCTTCAACCTTTCCTTCTATCATATCTTCAAATTTTTCTCCTAGAGCCCCTCCGAAGCATTTCCGGAGTTTTCTAAGTGTTCTTAGAGAGTTTTTATAGCGTTGTGAGAGAGAAAGAACGACGTTGTAGAGCGAAGGAATGCCAAAAAGTGTCCTATTTTAAGAGAATTAATAAAAAAAGCTTGCTTCAGAGGTTTCTTAACTTTCTTCCTTTCTTTTATCGCTTTGTTATTTATATTCATCTATGCATTAGCTGCTAGGGCCATGTAGTCGTTACTTTTTAATTCCGCAAATAAAAAGGTAAAAGCGTCATTTTAAAGTTTATTTATGAAATAACTGCCCTATCATAGAGAACCCGAAAGGGGCGTTGTGGGGGTGCTAATACCTTCCCCATAGTAACTAACTCCCTTACCCAACTCTGGTTATAATGACCAAAGTTGGTTTTGCTTAAAAAACCAACGCCTTCTTTTTTCCTTTTCCGATGTTTTCAGTAAAAACATCAGTGGTGACTCCATAAGAACCCTCTTCGAAAACCTTGCTTTTAGGTCCAGCCCGGTTATCGGACAACCTAAAAGCTCCCTTTCGAAAACCTCGCTCTTAGGTCCAGCCCGGTTATCGGACAACCTAAAGGCGTTGTAATGTCACCCTTCTTAAACGCGAAATTGGAAGTCGGAATACCATCACGTCACTCCGACCACCTGTCGCCGCCGTAAAAAAGAGGCGGTCGGAGTGACGCGATGGTTCCAACTTTCTATTTTTTCACGTTTTTATGGGTGAGGTTACAACGTCTTTAGGTTGTCCGATAACCGGGCTGAACCTAAGGACGAGGTTTTCGAAAGGGTATTCTTAGATCGTCCGATGACCGGGCTGACCTAAGAACAAATTTGAAAGGATTCTTATGGAGTCGCCACTGATGTTTTTATCGGAAACATCGAAAAAGGAGAGAAAAGGCGTTGGTTTTTGAAAACCAACTTTGGTCGTTAAAACCAGAGTTGGGTAAGGGAGTTAGTTACGTGTAAGGGAAGTGTTAGTTCCCTTACAACGCCCCTTTCGGGTTCCCTATGATAGGCCAGTTATTTTATAGATAAACTTTCGAAAAGACACTTTTACCCTTTTATTTGTGGAATTAAAATAATGACTACATGGCCCTAATGTTTATTACGCAATTTAATTATAAAAATAAAGACAGTAAAAGAGAGGGAGAGAGTGAAGAAACCTCCGAAGCAAGCTTTTTGATTAATTCTTTTGAAAGTAGGGTGCGTTTTGGCAGCCCTTCGCTCTTACAACGCCGGAAATCGCTCTTGAAACGCTATAAAAAGCTCTCTAAGACACTCAAAAACTCCGGAAATGCTTCGAAGGGACTCTAGGAAAAGAATTTGAAGAAAGTGTAGAAGGGAAAGTGGAAGAACTGTGTGAAATGAAGGGGGGATCGCTCACTATTTATAGGGATTCGTGCCTGTCAGGTCGAGATGGCGGTCTCGCCATTCGGGATGGCAGTCTTGCCTTGAATTAATGGCAAGACGACGGTCTCGATTTGCCAAGTGGCGAGAAGGCCTTCTCGCCAAACGGGAGGGGGGTCTCGCCATTGGCAAGTGGCGAGACGGCCATCTCGCCAAACGAGACGGCGGTCTCGACTTTTCCATTCAGCGAGACGGCTGTCCCGGAAAGCGAGACGACGGTCTCGACTCCTAAAGGAAAAAATCCTTATTTTTGTACAGAAAATCCTTCCTACTCTAACATAGGGCCTAATAGTCTCTCCTAGTGGCTTTTTAGGCTTCGTCCATCTTTGAATAATAGGTCTTCTACTCTTATTTTGAGGCCGGGAAATATTTGGGGTCTACAGCTGCCCCTCCCCCTTCACCTGAATAGCCGATTATTGGCCTGTTGTGCCAAGAAGATCGGCTGGAGGGTGAAGGAGTTGACCCTCTTGCCCAGTTGCCCTTCGGATACGCCGGCTTGCGGTAGCTGATCCTCTGGGGAAAGAAGTTGTGCGCCTCCAGGATGCTCCTTCTGACGGTAGCTGATCCCTTCGGTTGATGAGTATGAACCCCCATCTAGTTTGACGAGTATGAACCCCCGTCTAGTAAGCCCCCTTTTGTAAGGCTTGATGAGTACACACCCCCATCTGGTGTTTGACGAGTATGAACCCCCGTCTGGTAAGCCCCCTTTTGTAAGGCCTAATGAGTACACACCCCCATCTGGTGTTAAGTCCACTTTGTAGGACTGCTGGTGGTGGCGGCTTACTGCCCTAGCTCATGCGCCGAGTGAGAAACCTTGGGATGCTCCTTTGATGCGGTAGCTGACCCCTTGGTTGACGAGTACGAACCCTCATCTGGTTAAGTGCCTCCGAATGCTCCTTCTTGTGGTGCCTGACCCTTTGGCTGTGGTGGCGGCTTACTGCTCTAGCTCATGCGCCGAGTGTTGAGATGTGTTCTCTTGTTTTTTTGACTTTTCTAGGATAGACATCCGGTTTGTGCCGGGGATTACTTTGGTGGTCATCCAGCTTGTTAGTCGCTGGGTAGTCTTGCTTGTCGCTCGACTTTTGTTGGTTGTCGAAGAAACTCTTGGTCAATGTGGTTGACTTGTTTTGTTTTTAATCCTGCCTTTTTTCGCGGTTTTATCTTTTTTCTCGCGATTTTGGATTTTTGCTTCTCCTGGATTGAGCGTAAGTCTTTTTTTTACTTTTTAGTTTCTTTTCGTTACGCTGACTTTTCGAAAGGAGAGAAAAATGTATGAAACAAAATTTTATTTATGATAAAGTTTTGATTACAACATTTATTTTTGAGTACTATCCCTAAGACGACGGACTTGAGCCGGGAGACGATCCGGGAGGAGGGAATTTCCGGTACATGAACCTCTAAAATTCTGCCTGGTCTCGAATTGCGTCGAGGTGTTCTTGTCGGAACATCGCCAGGTCTTGCCTTATTCCCTCTTGTATCTGGCCGAAGGTCTCCATCCTTGTATCGAAGGCATCCTGCCTTAAGGACATCTGGTCCTTCCATGCCATAGGGACATTTGGTCGAATTGCTGGCGCAAGCTGTAGATGTTGCGGTTGATGCCAGCAAAGTCGTCCGTGTACTGCTGCTATTGCTAATATTGTTGCTGCTATTGTTGTTGTTGTTGGAACTCCGGGGGTGTCGGGAGATCTTGAATTGCCACTATGTTCCGGAGGTCTAGGGTTATGTCCAGTGAGGGGTGGAGGATCAACCGAGACCCTTGGTGGAGCAGCATCCCTGTAGATCCCAAATCTTGCCCGGCCTCATAATAAAGACCAGAAGACCTCCTTTTTAAAGATGGATAAAGCCTAAGAAGCTATTAGGAGAGACTATTAGGCCCCATATTAGAATAGGAGGGATTTTCTGCATGTAAATAATAATTTTCGCCTTTTAGGGTCGAGATCGCCGTCTCGTATTCGGGGCCGCCATCTCGCCTTGCGAAAGTGGCGAGACCGCCATCTCGTTTAGCGAGACGACCGTCTCGTCACTTGCGAATGGCGAGACCGCCGTCTCGTTTGGCGAGATGGCCGTCTCGCCATTTCTGCAAGGCGAGACGGCCGTCTCGAATGGCGAAACGGCCGTCTCAACCTTGTCAGACGAGATGGCCATCTCGACCTGACAGGCGAGAATCCCTATAAATAGCTGCGCCATTCCCCTCATTTCACACAGTTCTCTCATATTCCCTTCTATCACTTCCTCAAATTCTCTTCCTAGAACCCCTCCGAAGCATTTTCGGAGTTTCTGAGAGCTTTTTAGAGTTTTTTATATCGTTTTCGAGAGATTTCCGGTGCTGTAAAGAGTGAAGGGCTGCCAAAAAGCACCCTATTTTTCAAGAAATTAATATAAAGCTTGCCTCAGAGGTTTCTACATTCTCCCTCTCTCTTTTACTTCTTTATTTTTAATTATGCCATAGATATCAGGGCCATGTAGTCGTAACTTTAATTCTGCAAAATAAAAGGGTAAAAGTGTATTTTCACCGGTTTACTTATTTAAATAGCTGGCTTATCATAGGGAACCCGAAAGGGGCGTCGTAAGGGAACTAACACTTCCCTTACACGTAACTAACTCCCTTACCAAACTCTAGTTCTAATGACCAAAGTTGGTTTTTCGAAAACCAACGCCTTTTCACTCCTTTTCCGATGTTTCCGGTAAAAACATCGGTGGCGACTCTAGAAGAACCCTTCAAAATTAGTTCCTGGGTTAGCCCGGTTATCGGACAATCCAAGAACACTCTTTCGAAAACCTCGCCTCTAGGTTCAGCCCGGTTATCGGACAACCTAAAGGCATTGTAACCACACCCAAAGAAAACGCGAAAATTGGAAAGTCGGAACCATCGCGTCGCTCTGACCGCCTCTTTTTGACGGCGGCGACAATCCCCATGCTGACCAGGATGGACCTGTTGATGGTCTCGGGTTGAAGATTGGAGGAGAGGTCCTCTCTATCGCTGCACCCCCATTTCTCTGCCAGCGGGGTGATGAGGGGAGCCATGAGGATGACTCCCACAGGACGGCTCCCAAAGTCCTTAAGGGCCTTCACGAAGAAGTAGTCGGGGTTGCGCCGACGCCCTTGGCTCATGCAGTAGAGGGCGAAGAGATCTGGGTAGGTGACCTTACCCTGACTCTCCTTCCGCCCGTGGACAGTCCCAGCCAGCAGCTTGTAGCAAATGCGGAGGGCAGAAGTGAGTGCGGAGCCCTTTAGCAGGGATGGCAAGGTGCGCATCCCGGTAAGTTCCTCCCACATTTCACCGACGGCGAGGGTAGTGGAGCGCTCGCAGATGGCCTCCTGGTATTCCCGAGTCAGGACATCCTCGGGGGCCGGACGAATCCAATAGATACGTTGAACTCGTCCAGGGTTGTCGTTTGGTACAACCCATTCATGAAGTAGGACACCATCTTCGTCGATGGGAGGCCC